AAAAATATGGGTTAATAAAGGACAGCTAAGACAGATTTGTTAAAGGCAAATCATGTCTAACAAACCTGATAAGAGTTTTTTGATCAAGTAGCAGAGAGTGTGGGTGAAGGTAGTGCAGTTGATGTAGTATATATGGATTTTCAAAAGGCTTTTGATAATATGCCACCTAATAGACTTGTTAGAAAAAATGAAGTCCACAGTATTAAAGGGACAGTGGCAGCATGGATACAGAACTGGGTATAGGGAGTACAATTTCCAAGTTTTAAGATGATGCAAAGCTAAGAAAAGCAGTAAACGGCGAGGAGGATAGTAGCAGACTACAGGAGGACATAGATAGATTAATACAATGTGTCAGATTAAATTTAATGCGGAGAAATGTGAAGTGAAGCATTTTGGTAAGAAGAATGAGGAGAGGCAATGTAAGTTAGATGGTTTAATCTTAAAGGGGGTGCAAGAACAGAGAGACCTGGGGGTCCACATAAGCAAATCTTTGAAGGTGGCAGGACAGGTATATAAAGCTGCTAAAAAAGCGTACGGGATTCTGAGCCTTATAAATAGGGGCATAAAGTACAAAGTAAGGAGGTTGTGATGAACCTTTATAAAACACTGGTTAGGCCTCAGCTAGAGCTCTGTGATCAGTTCTGGGCACCACACTTTCGGAAGAAGGTCAAGGCATTGGAGAGAGGGCAAAGGAGATTTACCAGGATGGTACCAGGAGAGATTAGAGAAGCTAGGATTATTCTCCTTGGAGCAGAGAAGGTTAAGGGGAGATTTAATAGAGGTGTTTAAAATTATGTAACCAGAGGAAACAGATTTAAAATAGTTGCCAAAAGAAACAGAGGGGAGATCAGGAGAATTGTTTTCACACAGCGAGTTGTTCGGATCTGGAATGCATTGCCTGGAAGGATGGTGGAAGCCGATTTGATAACTTTCAAGAGAGAAGTAGATAGAAATTTGCAGGGCTATGGGGAGAGAGCAGGGAAGTGGGATTAATATGAACAGCTCTTTCAAAGAGCCGGCATGAACACAATGTGCTGTACAATTCTATGACTCTATCATCTTAACATTGTGATAAGATGCTATGTTAAATGCAAGGATTATTATTGTATCACGAGTGAGGATTATTCTTATCACATGGCTCTCCACTATAGTGGCTCGATAATTCTTTCCCCTTGTTTAATCTCTTCCTCCTTTTACCAAATTTCTCTGACATTGAAGATGACAGAATGAATTGCCTCAGGCGTGTGTTGGAGCAGAGTCAATTTGGAGGGGAGGGAACGTTTAGAAGGCATATGTGGAGGAAGGGGATTAGAAGGGACAGGGAATGAGCAAGGAACTGAGATATAAGAACATAAGAATTAGGAGCAGGAGTAGGCCATTCGGCCCTTCGTGCCTCCTCCTCCGTTCAATAAGATCATGGCTGATCTTCTCGCCTAACTCTGATTACCTGCCCTATCCCCATATCCCCTAATCCCTCTATTTTTCAAGAATCTATCAGTCTCAGTCTTGAAAAGGTTCAAGGACTGAACATCTACAGCCTTCTGGGGTAGTGAATTTGGAGAGGGTTTTATTGGAGGAGCAAACAGCCACTATCCCTCCCGCTATAAGTTGCTCTGTCAGGTTGAAGTCAGTGTAATGTTAAGGGCAGAAAATGACAGCATTTAACAGGCTGAAAGTTCAAGGTTACGGAGTCTGCAGTCTGCTCTCTATTACTCCCCCCAGTGCTTTCACTCCGGCCTGGAGGTTCCTTTGCACGTTGCTCAGGAGCACTGAATGCAGAAACAGAAAAAGAGGCACAAACTCCCTGGGGGGCTTTTGCTCACTGAGGCAGTAAGAACCGTCTGCAACACTGGAAAATAAGATGATTGCAACTTCACAAGTAATGCCGTCACTTTGAGGAGGAAGGATTCAGACAATACACAGCAATGGAACGTCGACAGCTCCAGGCCTTGGTCCAATTTTTTTCTTTACGCAGGTTGATCAACAGGGTTACCAGAAAAAGATGGTTGAGCCCTGGTCATTGGACTCATTTAAAAAGCAGCTCGATGTTGTGATGGGGTGGGGGGGGGAACGGTAGGGTGGGTGTTCTGGAGGGATGAGATCAGATGGGCAAAAGGGTCTTCTTCATCCAGACCAAGCTTGTGCTTATTGTTGCTCCTGTCAGCTCTTCCCAGACCGCCCTCACCCTCTGTCTCTGTCTCTCTCTCTCCTCTCTTATCACCTCCTTCCACCCCCCTCACCCCCCCACCCTTACAAAGGAAGGACTTTGGGGATAATAATTTGTGACCTCACATGATTGCCCAGAAACATGAGGAGGCCATTCTACCCATCAATGTCTTGGGACATCCCCTCGACATGAAAGGCACTGTGTAAATGCAATTTGTTGTTTGTTGTTCTAATAATGGTAATAATAATAATAATCCTTGCATTTGGTATAGGACCTTATCATGTCAGAAAAATGTCTCAAAGCGCTTAACAAGAATTACTGTGAAATGGAGTGACTGTGTATTGGTAGGCAAGTGCGCCAGTACAATTGCGCACAGCAACGTCCCACAAACAGCTGTGAAACAAATGACCAATTTTATTTGGGGGATATTGGCTAGGACACGGGGAGAAATAAACTACCTTCCCTTTTCATATTGTACAATGGGATCTATTAACGTTCAACTGTACAGGCAGATTTAATCAGTTTAATGTCTCATGTAAAAGATAGAACCTCCGACAATTTACTTGGATGATACCAGGTATGAGAGGTTTGACTTGTCCTGGTCTTTGCTCACAGGTCAGACCACTGTGGTATATTTTGAGATTTGTTTTGAACTGAACAAGTGCCTCTGACTCTCACGCCCTCCCCTCGATCAATTCGACTCCCTAAATGTACCTCTTTGATCGTGCTTTCTGTTATCTTCGGAAGGGGCAAGGTGGAGGGATAGAGGAACCGTGTTCCTTAAGTTTTGGGCGTAGTGGCTAAAAGCGTGTCCACCAATGGTGGAACGGAGGGCACAATGGACAAGCAGGACATCTGAGTCAATCGAACGAAGGCAGTGGGTTGAATGTTGGGAAGTAAGCAGGTCGGAAAAGTAGGGAGTTGCCAGGGCATGAAGGGATTTGAAAACTTGTGTGAGGATCTTAAAATTGATCCATTCCGCAATAGGGAGCCAATGGAGCCTGGCAAGGACTGGTATGATGGGGTTATGGAGTTTATTACAGGTGAGTAAGCGGGCGATAGAGGTTTGGATCAGCTGGATGGTGGAACTATCGAGAAGGACATTTGAACAGTCGGGGGGTGGGGGGAATGAATGCATGGACGAGTGTTTTGGCTGCGTCTGGGATAAGGTACAGTCGGAGGCAGGCAATGTGGTGGAGGTGGACGAAGACGGACCTGGTTAGGGACTGGATGAGGGGTAGGAAGGACAGTTGTAGGTCAAACCTGACACCTAGGTTGTTCACCGCTTCAATGAGTCTGAGGGATTAGACCGAGAGCACTAATTATCCTCTGGGTAAAGAAAAACGTACTCGTGTCTATCCTGAAATTGCCCTTTACAACTCTAAACCTATGACTCGTATTCTACTATCTCTGTGTATCCGAAAGTATTGATACAATACAAAACAGATGTACATTTTATATAGTGCATTTTACGCACATTTTTTCAATCCGATTTCAGATTTTAACCACTTCTATGAGGTTCCCTCTGAGTCATTAGTGCCGACCAGAGACGGGTCTCTGTGTGTGTGGGGGGGTGCAGTTTAAAAATTCAGCTCAATGTATTTTCTTAAGCCTGCGGGGGCTGAGCTTCTAAGAAAGCAGACATTGCTGACAAGGGAGGGTGTGGGTGGGAACTGCCCACGCAGAACGTGACAGTGTACAGTGCTTAATGTTCACTTATTTAAATGCCGGGGGGGGGAGTGGAGAATACAATCTAAAATTCTGCCAGTTGCATGCAAATCCCCCAAATAAAATCGGTCATTCAATTCATGGTTGTTTGTGAGATGTTGCTGAGTGCAATTGGGCTGCTGCGTTCGCCCACAAAACAGACTCACACTACCTTACAGTTTGAGGCAATGCTCTCTGAACTGTCTCACAGCCTGTTAATGCAATGCTCTCTGCACTATTTCACAGCCTGTTAATGCAATGCTCTCTGCACTATTTCACAGCCTGTTAATGCAATGCTCTCTGCAGTCTCACAGCCTGTTAATGCAATGCTCTCTGCAATCTCACAGCCTGTTAATGCAATGCTCTCGGCACTGTCTCACAGCCTGTTAATGCAATGCTCTCTGCACTACTTCACAGCCTGTTAATGCAATGCTCTCTGCACTACTTCACAGCCTGTTAATGCAATGCTCTCTGCACTATTTCACAGCCTGTTAATGCAATGCTCTCTGCAGTATCTCACAGCCTGTTAATGTAATGCTCTCTGCAGTCTCACTGCCTGTTAATGCAATGCTCTCTGCAGTGTCTCACAGCCTGTTAATACAATGTTCTCTGAGGTCTCACTGCCTGTGAATGCAATGCTCTCTGCAGTGTCTCACTGCCTGTTAATGCAATGCTCTCTGCAGTGTCTCACTGCCTGTTAATGCAATGCTCTCTGCAGTGTCTCACAGCCTGTTAATGCAATGCTCTCTGCAGTCTCACAGCCTGTTAGTGCAATGCTCTCTGCAGTCTCACAGCCTGTTAATGCAATGCTCTCTGCAGTCTCACAGCCTGTTAGTGCAATGCTCTCTGCAGTCTCACAGCCTGTTAGTGCAATGCTCTCTGCAGTCTCACAGCCTGTTAGTGCAATGCTCTCTGCAGTCTCACAGCCTGTTAGTGCAATGCTCTCTGCAGTCTCACAGCCTGTTAGTGCAATGCTCTCTGCAGTGTCTCACTGCCTGTTAGTGCAATGCTCTCTGCAGTCTCACAGCCTGTTAGTGCAATGCTCTCTGCAGTGTCTCACTGCCTGGGGAAAGGGAGGTTGAGTGAGTGACAAGCAGAGTCCTGCCCCTGTGCCTGATCAGTTCCGGGTTGGAGGTTTATCTCAGTCCCTGGCTGTGGGTTTGCAGATAGGTGAGTGCATGTTTTGTCATGTTCTGTGTTCTCCCCATTGCACTGGTCGCCGAGGTTCATTTCGAGTGAAAAAGTGCATTTTAGGGAACATTCCTACAGATGTTGTTCGGTGACTGTCTTCAGACAGAGCCCTTCCTGATGTATTCACAGTCACCAGCCCCCTCCCCCCCCCTCCCACTCACTCACATGAATACATACACATAAATAAAATGATTGCATGCTTCAGCCTCAACGACCCCCCCCCTCCAAAAAAAAATAAACTGAAAGGAGAGAGCGAGAGCGAGAGAGAAGCGCCTGCAAAAGTTTCTTAACTTCTTTTAAGAAAGAGTTGGAAATTGTTTCCGACTCCCAGACAGGTGTGAGTTTGAGACGTTGAGCTCGCGGTCCAGGCCGACAGGTGCTGGGCTGGACTGGGCTGTCAGAGGCGCTCTCCCCTTCAGAGGAAACTAAACTGAGACCCCCCCCCTCCTTCCCCGCCCCTCCCCAAAGCTGTGCCCTGTTCAGGTGGACGTTAAAGATCCTGCGGGAATATTGGACAATCCCCCGGAGAGAATCGCACGTTCACTTCATGGCTGTTTGTGGGATGTCGCACGAATTGGCCCCCGCGCTCGCCCACAAAACACGCAGCCGCTCACTCCAGAACCCCCTGTGAAGTGCTTTGAGATGTTTTGATGACACGATAAAAGGTAAGGATTATCCTCCTCCTGCGCTGGAGTGTCCGAGCTCACAATTCCCAGCGTAGGGCTCACACCGCAGAGAGGCTCTGCGAACGATTATTTCAGACAGACACGCGGAAGCACATTGATTTGCTGCTGATGTTAGTTTTCGGTATTCAGGCCTCCAGATCATGAGCAAAAGAGACCTGAGTTCAATTCCAGGCAGGGCGAAACCTTGGGCAAGTTTCCTTACTCCACACGCCTAATAATAATCCCTCCAAAAAAACAAAAACAATAATAAATTGGTCATTTTCAATCTACGACTGTTTGTGGGACATTGCTGTGCGCGATTGGCTGCCGCATTCGCCCACAAATATACAGTCAATTCACTTTACAGTATATTCTGTGAAGCGCTTTAGGATGTCCTCCCGACGTGAAAAGCGCTATATCAAAATGTAAGGATTATTATTATTATTATTAAAAGAGTAGGATTAATGGTTCAGTCGCTATTGGAGAGAGAGAGAGAGTGAGAGAGATCAAAATGTGAATGTCCGGCAAGAAATGAACTGAACACCCAGCACGTAAACAACTGTGTGTACGTTTGTACGTGACTGACATTAGTTACTGTGGGTGTGACTAACATTAGTTACAGTGTGTGTGTGACTGACATTGGTTACAATCTGTGTGACTGACATTAGTTACAGTGTGTGTGTGACTGACATTACTTACAGTGTGTGTGCGACTGACATTAGTTACTGTGTGTGTATGACTGACATCAGTTACAGTGTGTGTGACTGACATTAGTCACAGTGTGTGTGTGACTGACACTGGTTACAGTGTGTGTGACTGACATTAGTTACAGTGTGTGTGTGACTGACATTGGTTACTGTGTTTGAGTGACTGACATTAGTTATTGTGTGTGCGTGAGACGGACATTAGTTACAGTGTGTGTGTGACTGACATTAACTACTGTGTGTGTGTACCTTTGTATGTACACATCTGTACCTCCCCAACTCCTCCTTCCATAGGCTTCCGATCATCCAAAACCCTGCAGTCCGTGTCCTCTCCTGCACCAGGTTTGGTGACTCTTCTCACTCCCATGTCGCCCGACTCTACTGGCTTCCCATCACACAGAGGTTACAGTTCAAGATCTTGGTCCTCACCTTCAAAGCCCTCCATGGGCTTGCTCCCCCCTACGCCTACGACCTCCTAACCCCCTACCATCCAGTTCGCACCCTCTGCTCAGCGGGCTCCAGCCTGCTTCACGTCCACCGCCTCGCCCGCCCCACCATTGGCGGCCGGGCCTTCTGCCGCTCTGCCCCCACCCTCTGGAACTCCATCCCACAGTCCCTCCGCCTCGCCCCCTCCCTTGCCTCCTTCAAGACCCATCTCAAGACTCTCCTCTTCGATCGTGCTTTCGATCAACCTGCTTCCCCCTCTGCCATCCACCCTCCCTGATCCCGACCCCCAGCTCGGGTCCCGAACACTGACTGTCCAGCTTCTTGGGACATCCTCCTGACCAGAAAGGCGTTATACACATGTAATTTTATGTTGTTGTTGTATGTGACTGAGGTTAGTTATTGTGTGTATGTGACTGACATTTGTTACGGCGGGTGTCTTTGAACACATATTGGTGAAACATCCCAAAGTGTAGTGACTGTGAAATTTGTACGCAAACTCAGCATCCAATTTGCGCACAGCGATGGGCAGCAAACAGCAATGAGGTGAATGATTCCGTTTTCTCTGGGGCATTGTTGGCCGTAACACCGGGAGAGAAAAACTCCTTCCTCCTTTCCAATAGCGCCACGGGATCTTTAACGTCCACCTGAGCGGGGCACAAGATGGGACCTCGGTTTAATGTCTCATGATGGCACCACTGGTGATGTAGCCCTCCCTCCAGCCCCCCCCTCCCCTGCCCCGGATTGTCAGCCTGGACAACAAGTGCTGGCTAGATGTGATGTGGAAATTTCAGTGTGAATGCAGGTTGATTTTGAATGTGTTATGTTCGACAGCCATGCCGCTGGAGGTGCTGAGAGAGTGTGATGGGGCTTTCAGAGCACAGCTGCCCCCTGACCTACAAAGCATCAAACTGGACAAACTTCAGATGGGGCAGGACTGTGCCGACAGGTTTGTTCAGGTAAATGTACCCACATGTAGGGGAGTTTACCTGTCTCTACACCGTATCACTGTGTGTTAGTGTTTACCTCTCTCTACACTGTGTCACTGTGTGTTAGTGTTTATCTGTCTCTGCATTGTGTCACTGATGTAAATCTCTCTTCACAGGGTGCTGTGTTTCTGAGGTATCCACCACATCAACTTGGGACCATGGAGAAAGTGATCAAGCTTGTGTTAGAGGGTAATTAGCCACTGTGTTTCTCTATCTCTCCGATAATACTGACTGTCTCTCTCTCTCACTCTCTCTCTCTCTATCGCTATCTCTGGTAACACTAGCTGTATCTCTCTCTCTCTTTCTCACTCTATCTCTAGTAATACTAGCTGTATCTCTCTCGTCTTTCTCACTCTATCTTTGGTAACACTAGCTGTATCTCTCGCTCTCTCTCTGGTAACACTAGCTGTATCTCTCTCTCTTTCTCACTCTGTCTCTCTGGTAACACTAGCTGTATCTCTCTCTCTTTCTCACTCTATCTCTCTGGTAACACTAGCTGTATCTCTCTCTCTCTCTCTTTCTCACTCTATCTCTCTGGTAACACTAGCTGTATCTCTCTCTCTCTTTCTCACTCTATCTCTCTGGTAACACTAGCTGTATCTCTCTATCTCTCTCTCTCTCTTTCTTTCTCTCTGGTAACACTGTCTGAATCTCTCTCTCTCTGCTAACACTGGCTATATCTGTATGTGTCCAGAGTCCTCTGAAGAGGCCCTTGGCTCAAAACAAATCAATGTCTTCCTTTTCGGGTCCCTGGTGGACGAGTGTGAGCCTGCTCTTCAACAAGGGGTGAGTGACTGAATATACAGGGGGTGGGGGGAGTGCGAGGGTGGGGGGAGTGTGAGTCATCAGTCAGTGTGAGTTACAGACGGTGTCAGCGATGCAATGTGAGTGACACCCTGTGTGAGATGGGGATCGAGATGGGGATCACGCAGTTATTATCATTGATATTTTGCGCTTTGCAATGGACTGTATCTGTGACCATCTGAACCTCTCATTACCTGCCCTGTCTCCCAGGTCACCGTGGCTATCACTGGCTTCCAGGTTAGTCATTCTCCCACCTTCAGCAAGGATGGACGTCACACACTCCAGCTGGAGCTTTCAGAGCAGACAGGAGCAAGAGTGTTTGTGAGTAACTTGTCATCAGTGTACACCTCAATGTCGGCAACAAAGTCTGAAGGTCTTCTCGGTGCCTACCTCTCACAATTCTGGTTTGCACATGTCTCTGAATCAAAAGGTTGTGGTTCAAGCTCCAACGTCGGGGACTTTGAGCTTCAGGCTGAACTCCAGTGCAGCACTGGGGGAGTGCCGCATTGTCGGAGGTGCCGTCCCTCAGATGAGACGTTAAACTGAGGCTCCGTCTGTGCCTTTTCAGATGGCCATTTAAGTTCCCGCGGGACATTTGTAAAAGAGAAGGGAGTTTTTCTCTCTCTGTGTCCTACCCGGCAATCCCTCAAATAAAATTGATCATTCACTTCATTGCTGTTTGTGGGACGTTCCTGTGCCCAGATTGGCTGCTGCATTATCTTACAAATTACACAGTCACTACACTCTACAGCAGTTTTCTGTAAGGCACTTCCACACATTTCAAGCGTAAGCGCTGTGAACCAATCTGGATCGTGACTAATCCTTGCTCGCTCTCCCACTGGAGCTCTCTACTCTAATCCCATTCCCTGCTCTCTCGCCTCAGCCTGTGATATTGTGTGTTCAGTGAGATGCTACGTGTATTGCAATGTGAGCAGCGCAAGCTCTGTCGGTCCGTGCAATAAAATAAGCCTGTCAGTTTTGCTCGGATTTTCATAATTAGGTAATTTGGATGATTCTCTTGTTTAAGAAGTTGTTGACATTTTCCTGCGGTTATCTGTTCACTGGCAGGCCTACATCTCTCATTGTGCATCGTTGCTCTTTAATATGTGAAGCTGACAAGCGTAGCATTGAGAAAGAGAGAGAGAGAGAGAGAGACACTCCGGGGCTTTATTTATCGCGACTGCAAAATAGATACTGGGGCTGACAAAGTGTGGCTCGAGATCGAGCATGAAAAATCACCAACTCTAGCATTCACTGTCAGAGAGGGACCATGTCTGCAGATAGCTCGATAGGTCTTCCCGGGACCATTGGTTTTACATGTTAGTTCAGCCCCTACGTTTCAGTAAAGCTCTGGGTGCAAGGGGCTGAGCCAGAGCAGGACATTGTTTTCAATGTTGTAAATTCCCCCCACCGCACGCACACACACACACCCAACACACACACACACACACTCTCCCGCACACTCATGTACACATACACAAATGTAAACACTTACACAAACTATTGATGTTGAGCCGGTGTTTTGTTCTCCAGGTGTACGAGCAGACACTGGGAAGACCTCCAGTGACGGGAACTAAAGGCCCCATCGTTCAGAGGACCAAGGTAAATCTATACAATAACTCATCTGAAATTCAGCCAGACACCAATCAGCCAAAGGTGTATTCAGGTCAAGGGTGGTGAACGCTGTCAGCTTGGTTCAGTTACTCGCTCTCTCTCCTTGAGTCAGAAGCTTGTGGGTTCAAGCCCCATGTTGGGGACTTTGATCTCACAGTCTAAGCTGACACTGACGGGGAGCACTGCATGGTCGGAGGGTATTTGAAAACCATTTCAGTGTTACAGGCAATATATTGAAAGCAAGGATTATTTATTTGCAGCAGAGCGCTATCGAACATTACCAAAACATTACAGAGCGCTACCAAAACATTACGGTACGAGAGAGGGGAGTTTATGCGAGTGGTGTATGTGTGAATGTTAAAGATCCCGCGTCACTATTCGAAAAGAGAAGGGAGTTTCTCTCTCCTGGTGTCCTGGCCAACAATCCTCCAGATAAAATTGGTCAATTCATTCCATAGCTGTTTTTTGGGACATCACAAGTATATTAAAAGTCTGTGTGTGTATGTATGTGTGTGTGTGTGTGTGTGGATAAAGTTAACTGGGCCTTGTCATGGTTTGATTGAACCCACACGTGAAAGTCAAAAGAGAAGGAGTTTCTCTCTCCTATTGTCCTGGATGACAATCCCTCCCCCACCCCAGATAAAATTCCCCCCGGGCTGTATGGGGGGAACCTTGCTCGGCATAAATTGGTAACTAACAGTGCTTTGAGATGTTTTGAAGTGCTGAAGCGCTGCGTCAAGAACAACAACAGGTCCTTCTCGCTGGATAGCGTCTTGGAGCAGTGCTGCACAGTGATGGGGTTGGAGGCTTATTGAGGGAGAAAACGGAGGGGGTGGTGACCAAGGCTCTGCAGGCCTGTGTTAGCTGAGCAAAGTGTGTATGGGGTGGGGGGGGGAGCAGGGCAGAGGAATGGGGTAGGAGCAGGTCAGAGAGGCAACGAGGTGTTCAGGTGAGAAGTGATTTGGAGGAGAGGGTGAGGATCTGAAGTTGATGTTTTTGGAGCTAGGGAGCCGGTGTGTCAAATGAACCAGGTATGAATGTGAGGATGGTTTGTTGTTAGAAAGTGGAGAAGCACTGACTCCCGTGTCAGAGAGAACTTCCCAGCCTCAGAGGCCAGAGGTTTGTGATTGAATCCAAACCTCAGCAACATCCTGAATTGTTCAAGCTCCACAACAACAAAAGTGCAATTGGGTTATTGATTCTCCCCCGCACCCCACCCCGCCTCTACCCTGAGGGGCATCGCAATATAGTATGAGCTGTCATGAGTGACTGTCAGAGCATGTGGATAAGCAAACACTAGGCATGTAGATATGAGGACATTATAGTTATCCAGAATGTGGATAAGAGGACATAAACTTAACAGGTATGTGGATAAGACGACACATAACTACTAGATGTGTGGCTGAAAGGAAGCTTATACCAAGTGTGTGGATCGTGGTGATTGTGCTGTGATTGTGTGGGCTGAGACTTGCGTGCTCCCTCAGTCGCCCCGCTGCGTGGTTTATCACAGTCAGAGAGCTGAATGAGGCAAAGAGACATCTTTTGTGCGTGGACAGGGCTGCAGGCATTCATTTACTGTAACACCTACTTTCACTAGCCGCAGATCAAGCGTGTGGAGCTCAGATTGAATTTAGATATCCGCTCAGACACACATTGGAGAGTTTGCATCAGATCAATAGCTAAATCTGTAAACGAGAGCTGGGGCCAACTCTCTAGGAAATCACTGCTAAACAATTGAGCTGCAGGAAAAGATGACCGAAAGCACAGTCAGTGAGGCCGTGGAGATGTTTACAAGTGAGGACGAGGATTGTAACCTCGGTCCTCTGGGGGATGTGGAGCCAGTGAAGAAGCCAGGTGAGGATTGGACGGGGAAAGCCTGGCAGAGCCTGCTGTGCGAGTGAACATGAACTGCGGAGTTCTTGTGGAGAGAAGAGCTGGGAAGTCGAGTGATTGGAGTGTGAGCGTAGGCGAATGCAGCAGCCATCTTGCATGCAGTCCCACAAACAGCCACAACGTGAATTACTTTACCATCCGGGGTCTGTCTTGAAATTGTGCTTTGCAACCCTAGACCGGTGTCCTACTGTTCTGCTGTCCCAGTGCATCTGAGAGAATTGTTCTGGATAGTTCCTTTCAAAGTCAACTTCTATATAGGATTAGGAGAGCGCCATTTTGGCCTATTCCGCCATTTTATTGGCAGACCTTTTAACCACAATATCCCGCTCTTTATCGTCCCTGTTAAATCTTTCCACTGCCCAAGTCTCTGGCTGTCCCATTTTTGAACATATCTATTGATTCTATCTCTGGGGCAGAGCACTCCACATCCTCACAAGCCTCTACATGAAAAAAACACTTCCTGAGCTCAGCTCTTGGTTCTCTTCGAGGTTTGAAATTGGCGGCTAAGAGAGAGGTTTGGAGACAGTTGTGGGTCCCCAAGTCATGGGAGCCCCTGAATCAGCATCATGCTTGTCTCAATGTAAAGTGTTTTCCCTTGGTCCGGTTTGCTGAGCTAGCTCACTTCCATCGATGTGTGCTTGAAATGACACCATTGGCAAATGGGACACAAAATAATAATGATCTCTGTATCTAACGCCTATAACATAAAATCATAATGTCTCAACTTACCGCACAGGGACTCAAGTGTTGTGATTGTTTACTTTGTAGACAAATGTGGCAGACAATTTGCACACAGCAACATTCCAAGAACAGCCATAATAATAATAATAATAATCCTTGCATTTAATATTTGATATAGCGCTTTTCACGTCGGGAGGACGTCCCAAAGCGCTTCACAGAATATACTGTAAAGTGAATTGACTGTATATTTGTGGGCGAACGCGGCAGCCAATTGCGCACAGCAGTGTCCCACAAACAGTCGTAGATTGAAAATGACCAATTTATTATTGTTTGGGTTTTTTTGGAGGGATTATTATTAGGCGTGTGGAGTAAGGAAACTTGCCCAAGGTTTCGCCCTGCCTGGAATGAGTGGTGGTTTTATTTGGGGGCCAAGGCACCGGGAGAGAGAAACCCCCTTTTCTTTTCCAGGAGTGCCTTAGGAGCTTTAATGTCCACCTGAACAAGCACAGACGGATGGTCGATTTAATGTCTCACCCAGAGGACAGCACTTCTGACAATGCAGGGCTACCCACCCCCCAGGGCTGCACTAGAACTGTGAGCTCAGTGTCACTGAGATGGAGGCTCAAATCCACATAATTCTGACTCGGAGGCGAGTGTTCGAGCAACCAAGCCAAGCTGACATGTTCCAAAAAACTGGTGGAACAGGCGGTGGGCTGAATGGTGTCCTTCTATACTTGTGTTCCCTCCCCCGCACACACACATTCTGTCCTATTGAGCACCAACCTCAGATTATTCTGTTCCCAGTGATAGATTTAGGCGGTTGCTCTCCCCAGTTAATATAGCTGGTGTTGTTCAGATAAAAGCACTTCCCCAGTGGTTGAGACGCTCAGTCTTGAGGAATCAATGTGGTCTGATGAGACTGTGAGTCTATTTTTGCCACATTGATTTTGTTTCTTGTAGAATTATTGCTGAGTGCTTTTCTTGCTCACTTTTTTTTCGGCAATGTCTATTTTTCTCCCCTCCAGGACATGTTTGTCGCCTTGCTCAGTTCTACTGCTCCTTGGTTCAGGAATGAGGACATGGCACAGAGTTCCTGTATTCTTTAACTATAATATTATTCGCATTTGGATTTGGTATAGTGCCTTATATTGAAAGGACGTCTCAAAGCACTTCACAGAATTTACTGTGAAATGGAACAACTGTATTTGTTGGCAAATGTGGCAGCACAATTTATGCACAGCAAAGTCACCCAAACAACCATGGAGTGAATGACCAATTTTATTTGGGGGATTGTTGGCCAGGACACCAGGAGAGAGAAACTCCCCTTTTCGAACAGTGACGCGGGATCTTTAACACTCACACATACACCACTTGCACAAACTCCCCTCTCTCGTACCTTAATGTTTGGGTAGCAGTTCGATATCGCTCTGCTGCAAATAAATAAATCTTTGCTTTTGATATCTTGCCTTTAACACTGAACTGGTTTTCAGATTCCCTCCAACCACGCAGTGCTCCTCTCCTGTGTCAGCCTAGACTGTGAGATCAAAGTCACCTGTGAGGCTTGAACCCACCAGCTTCTTACTCGAGTAGTGAGTGTGAGCCAGGCTGACAGTGTACCTGCACTTGAACTGAATACACCTTTGGCATATAGTGCCATGGGATCTTTAACGTCCACCTGAACAAGGAGGTGGGACCTCGGTTTAGCATCTCATCCGAAGGACTCCACCACCGACAATGCAACTCCCCCCCACCACCCCCAGCAATGCATTGGAGCGTCAGCTTAGATCAGGGTCTGCATCATTTGATGGCCATGAGGTGGTGTGTTGCACATGCTCAATAAAAACAAGAGGAACGAGTGATAGTTGCCACAGTTTATACAATAAAGTATAAATTTTTATTTGAAGACTGTATCCGGCTTTGTTTTCAATACTAAATAACCACGGAGTCCCATGGCTTCTTCCTCTTGTCTTTTTTGATGATGCGCGAGAGTGATCGAGTGATCGACCGATTGGGGAACCGCCCCCCCTTATGTAGCACCCAACGTGGCTTGAACCCATGACCTTCTGAATCAAAGGCGAGAGCGCAATCACTGAGCCAGGCTGACACAAAAAATATCCTTGAACCTTATAATGTCACAGACAGGTTGCAGCACTGCAAGAGAACTTGTGTGTGAGTGTGAGTGCTCATCCCTCTAACTCTCGGTCTCTAAACTCTGTAACTACGTCCCTCTCCCCCTCTGTCTCGCCACCCCTCCTCCTCTCCCCAAAATGTCTTTAAACTCCCTCCTTAAAACCTATCTGACTGTGCTTACAGTTACCTCCCCTTTCTCCTCTCCGCCTCGCTCGGCATCTAACCCAGTCACTGTGTAGCACTACGTGAAAAGTGCTCCGTCAACAATGAAAATTGTTGTGGTTGTTGGCATTTGAGAACATTCCAGTTTGGCCTCTTGTTATCCTTGTCCTCACCTTTAAAGCCCTCCACAGTCTTGCTGCTCTCTACCTCTTCAACCTATTAAAGCTTCACCACCACTGTCCATTAGCATTGACTTGCTCACGTCCCCCGCTATATAAATGCTTTTGTTTTTGAAAGGCTGACATTCACAGGCTTTGTGTCCTTGCCGGCTCTTACAAGAGCAATTTCAGTTCCATTTACCTGCCCTTTCCTCGCTCTCCTGTAGCTTACGCCAAATTGAACTGAGATCTCCTCTCTTTCAATTGCAGTCATTCTCCCACCCTCTTGTCTCTTGGCCACACAGGACTATGTCTACATCCCCCTGAATGAAGTCAAGGAGGGCCTCACAGTCAACGTGTACGGAGTGGTGAAGTTCTTCAAGCAGCCTGTTCCCAGCAAAGGCACAGGTGAGTGAAGGATCCGGCCACAATCTCTTCTCACCTGCATTTGATAGTGCCTTTCACATCAGGGGGAACGTCTTCATGACTGTGTATTTTGTAGTCAAAATGTAGCCAATTTGCACACAGCAACATCCCACAAACAACCATGAAGTGAGTGAGCAGTTCTGTCTGGCAATTGTCAGTCAGGACACCAGGAGAGAGAAACTCCTCTTTTCTGACAGACCCCAACAGTGAAGGGCAATAATAAAGTGATCTGGCCAAAGGTCACCTCCCATTCCCCCTCCACTGGCTCCCCATCCCCCAGAGGATTGATTTCAAGATCCTCATCCTCACCTACAAGGCCATTCACGGCCTTGCTCCCTCCTACCTCTCCAACCTACTATCCCCTACCTACCTGCTCGTACCCTCTGTTCCTCCGGCTCCGGTCTGCTCCACGTCCCCCGCCCCAACCTCCCTACCATCGGTGGTCGGGCCTTCAGCCTCTCAGCCCCTGGGCTCTGGAACTCTATCCCCCAGTGCCTTCGCCTTGCTTCCTCCCTCTCCTCCTTCAAGGCCGGTCTCAAAACCTTTCTCTTTGACTGAGCCTTCAGCTCCCTCTCGACTCTCTTCCCCCTCCTCGCTCCCTCCCTTCCCTCCCTCACCCTGACCATTTCCCCCTCCTCGCTCCCTCCCTCCCCTCACCCTGACCATTTCCCCCCTGCTCGGGTCATGACCCAACTGTGCAGCGCCTTGGGACGTCCTCCTGACGTGAAAGGCGCTTTATAAATGGAATCTTGTTGTTGTTGTTGTTTCTCTCTTGCTCAGCTTCTGACAGTCACTCTCGCTCCGAGATATTACCTTGGAGTCTCGTAGCATAATGGTTAGCGTGCTGGTGAAAGGACCGGGTTCTATTCTGCGCGGGGTAAAACCTTAGGCAAGTTTGCTTACTCCACACACCTCTGTTTACCGAGCAGTAAACAGGAACCTGATTGTTAGTTGATTGATGAATCGCTTTCTGGGGGGATAATAATGCCTCAAAGAAATATTTGGTCACTCAATTCACTTCTTGTTTGTGGGACACTGCTGTGTGCAATTGCAATCCTGCATTTCACCCACAAAATATACAGTCAATCGACTTTACATATATTCTGTGAAGTGCATTGAGACGTCGCAACAACATGATAAAGGGGCTATATCAAATGCAAGGATTATTATCATTATTATTGTTATCATTATGTTCTGTGATGGCGCTGTGTAAATATAAGTTGCTGTTGTCTCTTTCAAGCCTGTAAGATTCTGATGCTGGATTCGAAACTTTGTTCTTCTGGATTTGGACAAAACTGGGCTTCAACAGAGCTGGAAGCCCAGAGCCTTGGAACAGACTGAATACTGATGAAGTCAGTATGATGGCTGTTTGTAAAAGTCAGATGTAAAGTGGGCCAATTGCTCTGAGCACAGGAAGACCTTTCTCTTTGCACGTCTCTTTCTCTCGGAGGGGGTGTTGGGGGCAGTTTAAGTGATGATGCAGAGAGAAGGCAGCTCTTGGTGTTGACTCACTCACCCGGTCACTATTGCTCGCTCGCCATCTCATCCCCATGATGATAACCGAATTTTGACAGGATGGTCACTGTTCCCCATGTAATCTAGGATGCGACCTTTCAGCCTGGCTTACTTGGCCTCAAGTTGAAGGCCCACAGCAGGGAGTTGGTTGACACTCCAAGCTCACGATCTTGACTGACACTCCAAAGCAGTGCAGGGGATGTGTTGCACTGTTAGAGGTGCCATCCTTTGGATGAGAAGTTAAACTGAGGCTCCATCATGCGCCTCTTCAGGTGGATGTTAAAGATCCAATGTTACAATTGGAAAACAGAAGGAGTTTCTCCCAGTATCCTGGCCAACAATCCCCCAAATTAAGATTGGTCACTCACTCCCCGGCTGTTTGTGGGACACAGCTGTGCGCAACTGACTGCTTGCTGTGTTCGTCCAGAAACTACAGTCAATCCATTTTCCAATATATTCCGTGAAGCGCTTTGAGACATCTAAATAATGTGGTAATTATTATTATTACTAATTATTATTAATAGTGCCAATAGGATCTTTAACGTCCACCTGAACTGGCACAGATGGGACGTCAGTTTAATGTCTCATTTGAAGGACAACGTTTCCGACAATGCAGTGTCCCCACAGCGCTGTACTACAGAGTCAGCCTAGACTGTGAGCTCAAAGTGGGGGTTGCAATGAGGTGTGTTGACCGTGCTGTCTCACCTTTTTCCTCCCCGCAATCCGCAGTGAGAGGAGAGAATCCATTCAGCTCATCATGTGACTTCCTTCTCCACAATAACAACGACAGTAAATGGACATTGTCGATTTCACCAGGTGTTTTCCTGTTTCTCACTGTTGCAGATTTCTACTCCACTCTGACCCTGGTGGATCCGTCCGCAGCTCGGCTACACTGTGTGCTCTTCAGTGGTAGCCTGGATCTGCTCCCCCAAATCTACAAAGTGGGTGATGTGGTGCGTTTCCACAGGCTCAAGGTACGTCCCAACCCTCACTGACAGCTCACCACGCTCTCTCTCACTCTCTCTCGCACCCACTCTCTCACCCTCTTTCAAACACACTCTCTCTCACTCACAATCTCTCACACACTCTCTTACACACTCTCTCTCACATACTCTGACTCTCTTTCACACACTCTTACTCTCTCTCACACTCTTTCTCTCTCTGTCTCTCTAGATACAATGTTATGAGGGTGACCTGCAGGGTGTAAATGGCCCGGGGTTCTCTGCGCTGACCTTTGACGGAGCTCTGGAGGCTGGGGTGACCCCTCGCACAGCCAGCAAGAGTTACCAGTTCACCAGCACCGACCGGAAGATAGTTAGAGAGCTGCGGAGCTGGGCCAAGGCCAACCTGCTGGCCCCAGACACACTGCGGCTCAAAGATATTCAGCAAAACACCAAGTATCTGGACCTGACCTGCCAGCTCCTGGCCAAGGCACGGCTCGAAGCCTCCACCGTCCTGCTCAAGGTGAGCGGGAGAGAGTGAGAGAGACAATGAGAGAGAAAGATATACAGTGAGCGATAGAGAGAGAGAGATGGGGAGAGAGAGAGAGACAGCGCGTGGGCGAGAGAGACGCGATGAGTGAGAGACAGTGAGTGAGTGAGTGAGAGAGAGAGAGAGAGAGAGAGAGAGGATGAGCGAGAGAGATGGTGATCGAGAATGAGAGAGATAGTGACAGAGAGAGAAAGAGTGAGCGAGAGAGAGAGAGAGAGATGGTGAGCGAACGAGAGAGAGACAATGAGAGAGCGCGCAAGAGAGGGAGATAGTGAGTGAGAGAGAGAGAGACGGTGAGTGAGAGAGAGAGACAGTAAGCCAGAGAGACAGTGAGCGAGAGAAAGACAGTGAAAGAGAGGGAGAGACGTTAAACTGTCTGTACCTGTTCAGTTGGATGTTAAAGATCCCGTGGAGCTATTTGAAAAGAGAAGGAAGTGTCTCTCTCCTGGTGTCCTGGATGACAATTCCCCAGATAAAATCGGTCACTCACATTATGGCTGCATGCAAATTGGACGTTGCCTCGTGCAAATTGGTTGCCGCGTTTGCCTACAAAACATTTGAGACACTACACTTTACAGCATATCCTGTGCACCGCCTTGCGGTGTCTCAACTCTGTGTTAATGACAAAGATTTTTTGTTATAATTGGTATTACTATCAGCTATTTTTCTAAATATCAATTTTCCAGCTCTGTTTCCACTGTCATCAAATAGGGCCACATGAGTTTTTTTTTCAGTCAGCCAAATCCAACAAGTGCAGAAACCCTGTAGCACCATGCTTGTATTCAAACAAGACTCTGAGCTCCATATGTCTGCCTGTCTGCTGCCTGCCACCTACCCATGGAAATGTCCCTGTGACTGGAATGGAATGCGCAAACTCTCCCTGGAGGGACGTGCTCTGCTTACCTAATTCTGGAATGTATTAGTCACAGGTTGGGGAGAGACAAGGCTTGTGGACCCCAGAGTGTGAGTTGAGGAACCGCTGGAGTCTAACCAGCTAAAACCGTATAGCTTGCCATTGATAGCATTGGATTTTTAAATAACAGACTTCAAAAATGGCCGATGGCAGGAGACTGATGGTTATCTATTGCTGCAGGTGTGGGATGGCACCAAGTGCCAGCGACCGATTTGGCAAGTGAACTTGGATGGCTACAAGCTGGATGGTGATGCCAATGCCATCGAGAGTCTGCGGGGGCTGAGTGTGGATGTGCTCGTGTACGATAACCACGCCAGCACAGCAAGCAGCCTGCAGGTACCAGGCACCACAGCAAACACACACACACCCTCAGTAAACACACATACACCACACACTCTAGGCAAACACACACACCGAACACACCCTTGGCAAACACATACACACACACTCTCAGCAAACACACATTCACCACACACCCTCGGCAACACACACACACCCTCGGCAAACACATACACACACACACACATCCTACAACAACAACAACAACAAGATTCCATTTATAAAGCGCCTTTCACGTCAGGAGGACGTCCCAAGGCGCTGCACAGTTGGGTCATGACCCGAGCAGGGGGGAAATGGTCAGGGTGAGGGGAGGGGAGGGAGCGAGGAGGGGGAAATGGTCAGGGTGAGGGAGGGATGGGAGGGAGCGAGAAGGGGGAAGAGAGTCGAGAGGGGAGCTGAAGGCTTGGTCAAAGAGAAAGGTTTTGAGACCGGCCTTGAAGGAGGAAAGGGAGGAAGCAAGGCGAAGGCACTGGGGGATAGAGTTCCAGAGCCTCGGGGCTGAGAGGCTGAAGGCCCGACCACCAATGGTAGGGCGATTGGGGCGGGGGACGTGGAGCAGACCGGAGCCGGAGGAGCGGAGGGTACGGGCAGGTAGGTAGGGGGATAGTAGGTTGGAGAGGTAGGAGGGAGCAAGGCCGTGAATGGCCTTGTAGGTGAAGATGAGGATCTTGAAATCAATCCTCTGGGGGATGGGGAGCCAGTGGAGGCGAGCGAGGGTGGGAGTGATGTGGTCCCGAAGCCTGGTGCGGGACAGTACACGAGCTGCAGAGTTCTGAATGACCTGCAGCTTGTGGAGGGAGGTGGCGGGAAGGCCGGCGAGGAGAGAGTTCCCATAGTCCAGCCTTGAGGTGATAAAGGCATGAACCAGGGTTTCAGCAGAGTGAGGGGTGAGGTAGTGCCGTAGTCTGGCGATGTTCCGGAGGTGATGGAAGGTGGTGCCAGTTGTGGTGTGGATGTGAGGGAGAAAGGACAGCTCAGGGTCGAACAAAACGCCGAGGTTCCTGACTGGCTTTGAGAGGTGGAGAGTGCAGCCTTGGATGCTGATGGTGTCGGCGCCTGAGGTGCGGAGGCGCTGACGTGAGCCAATCAGGAGGGCCTCGGTTTTTCGCACGTTGAGCTGAAGAAAGTTGTCTCTCGTCCAGGACTCGATGTCGGACAGGCAGGCTGTCAGGACATCGGTGGTCGTGGAGTTGAGAGTAGAGGAGGAAAGGTAGAGTTGGGTGTCATCCGCATACATGTGGAAGTTAACTCCATGTCTGCGGATGATGTCACCAAGGGGGAGCATATAGAGGGTGAAGAGGAGGGGACCGAGGACAGAGCCCTGAGGGACTCCACATGAGACAGTACGGGGGGTGGAGGAGAAGCCATTCGTCGAGACAAAGTGAAGACGGTGAGAAAGGTACGACCTAAACCACTCAAGGACAGTGCCTTGAAGGTTGAGGTGGGAGGACAAGCGGTGGAGTAGGATAGCGTGGTCGACCGTATCGAATGCTGCCGATAGGTCGAGGAGGACGAGGAGGCAGAGGGAGCCCTGGTCACAGATGGTCAGGATATCATTGGTGACCTTGACCAGGGTTTTTTGGTTTGACCAGGATTATCCTGGAGTAGAAGGACGACTTGGCCGAGGCTAGAGTGGAGCGGTAAATTTTGAGGAGGTCCAGCCAGATTTGTCGGTGGACCGTTAGGCCAGATTTGACACAGGTGCGTTCAGCAGCCCGCACCTGGCTTTTCAGTGAGCGGAGGTGGGTGGTGTACCAGGGGGAGGAGCGGGAGTAGGAGACAGTGCGGGAAGTGATGGGGGCAAGAGTATCGAGTGTGGAGGAGAGGGTATTGTGGAGGAGGGAGAGAGGAGAAGAGGGGTCGGTGAGGGTTGAAGGCCAGAGGGAGAGGAGTTCAGAGGACTCCAAGGCATCGGTTAGGGATTGTGGGGGTAACTTCTTCCAAGGGCGGTAGAAGATGGTGGTGGGTCTGGTGGAGGTGGGGAGGGGGGTGGAGGTGGTGAAGGAGATGAAGTAGTGGTCAGAGATGGCCTTGTCGGTAATAGTGACATCCGAGACACTGAGGCCCCGGGTGATCACCAAATCGAGTGGGTGGCCGTGACTGTGAGTGGGGGAGTTTATGTGTAAGGAGAGGTTGAGTGAGGAGAGCAGGGAAGAGAAGTCTGTGGAGATGGAGCAGGAGGGGGTGAAGTGTAGGTTAAAGTCGCCCAGGATGATGAGGCGATCAGAGCAGAGGCAAAGAGATGTGAGGAGTGTTGAAATGTCAGAGATGAAGGTGGGAGAGGTTTTAGGGGGCCGGTAGAGGAGGAGGATTTTAAGGGAGAGGAATGAGGGGTGGGAGAGGGTGAGGTGCTCAAAGGAGGGGAAAGAGCCAGTGGAGTAAGGGGATAGGGCAAGTGGTGTCCTTGAGATAAGGGCAACACCACCGCCACGGCGGTTGGGGCGGGGGATGTGGTGGGAGGTGTAGCCGGGTGGCGTGGCCTCCGTGAGGGGGAAGGTGTCGCCTGGGGTGAGCCAGGTTTCTGTTAAGGCCATGATATCAACGTTCTCATCAAGGATGAGATCGTTGATGACCAGGGCCTTGTTGCAGAGGGAGCGGACATTTTGCAGTCCGATGTGGAGGGAGCGGTTGACAGAAGGGTGTGTGGGAGGGGAGGGGGTCCAGGTTGTGAGGCAGGGGTGGGGGGAATGGGGATGAGGGAGGAGAGGTTGACTCCCCGGGTCTGTGTCCGGGGTGGGTGGCGAGTGTGGTGGGGAATGGGGCAGTCGGTGTGGCTGCTGCTGGACAGCCAACGCCGAGTGCCACGGTGAGCCCGGCGGAGGATTCCCAGGCTGGAGCAGAGGGAGGTTGTGGGAGGGTCAAGTGGGGATAGAAGACGAGAGGGACGGAGAGAGAGGAGGAGAGAGCGGGAGAGATGCAGAGGGGGGAGGGTTTGGGGGGAGAGAGGAGGGGAGGGAGGGAGGGGGTGAGGGGGCTCGGGTCAAAGCGGCAGCCATAGTGCGCACGCGGGGACCGGGAGCGAGCGGTCAGGTGGATGGCATTATCCCGTAGATTGGGGCAGCAAACGCAACAGGACCATAGTGGGCTCTGATGTGAGCCCTGGGGGGGGGGGCGCAGAGAGTTTTTTTTTAGGGAAACACACACACCACACACACCCTCGGCAAACACACAAACACCACACACATCCTCGGCAAACACATACACCACACATATACACACACACACACACCCTCAGCAAACACACACACATACACACTGCCAGGAAACACACAAACACCACACACAGTGCCAACACACACACACCACAAACACACACACATCACACACACACTGCCAGCAAACACACACACGTCACACACACACACACGTCACACACCCACACAGCAAACATACACACACAGCAACACGAACACGCACACTCACAGCAAACACATGCTGTGGTACAGGCACTGCTGAAACAATAAAACATCAAACCCATGCACAACCATATCCCACAAACAGCCATGAAGTGAGTAATTGTTTTACCTTGGCAATTGTTGAGAAACTCCCTTCTCTTTTCCAACAGCGCCCTGGGATCTTTAACACTGAACATACACAGGCAGGTTTAGGAAAGCTTTAACATCTCATTCGAAGCATGACCTATGATAATTATCAAGCTCTGCCTTATCAGCCTTCAAAACAACAGCCACTACACTTGATAGTAATTTTGAGATGTTTTGACGTGTTCAAGACTGGGTCGAATGGTGGTGTGTCTGTGAGTAGCTCTGGTTCTCCCTGGCGGACATTGCCCGGTACTGCAAACACTGCATCGATCACTGCCTTCTCCCAACACTGGGGAAAATCTCAGGATTGGGAATGACACCAAAATGGGGGACACTGTGGCTTTGGAGGAGGCAGCAAAGCATTTACCGAGGGAGCATGGAAGCATATGCATGTAGGTTCCTCGTTCGGGGGGTGGGGGAGGAGTGGAGGCGCCTTAAAGATCCCGGGACAAGGTTGGGAAAACAGAAAGGAGTTTCCCGGTATCCTGGCCAACAATCCCCCAGAGAAAATCAGTCACTCACTTTATGGCTGTTTGTGGGACTTTGCTGTGGGTAAATTGGCTGCTGCATTCACCCACACAATACAGTCACTGAACTTTCCAGCAATTGCCATTACGTATTTGGATATACTGCAGGTTACATGGGGATTGTCGGTGTGGGGGTGTGGTGGGGGTGGTGATGAGCGGGCTGGAGGGGGGTGTGTGGGTGGAGTGCATTATCCAGCGGCACGGTGATGGCAGCAAGACTCTGGTTCCTTCCTGGCAGGTGGGGGCGTACCTCAGGCTCCACAACATCCACCTCAAGTTGCCAGAGGGGAGCGAGGTGACAGAGCTTCACTTGCACGGGGGGACCTCCTATGGTCGCGGTGTCTCTGTCCTTCCCGCAGACAGCCACGACAGCAAACGGTTACAAAGGTGAGCGGGCGATAGCCAAGAGAGGGCGCAGAAATACCTCATTCCCCTCCCCCAACCCAATCCAATTAACAACTTGGCTATTGGACGAGCCTTCCCTCTGGTGAAGGAACCCAAACAGGTGTTAACATTAGAGTCAGGTAACATCTCCTCACAGTTTGTGGAATACTGCTCTGCACAATTGGCTACTGTGTATTGCCCCAAAAATAGACAATGAATCCACTTTACCATATATTATGTGAAGAGCTTTGAAACGTCTCAATACTGTGATGTCGCTGTATCAAATGCAAGGATCCGTATTATATTACTTTTTCGTGCAGGTCTCTGGAGGCTGCGGTGAGGAACGATGCGGACAGCCTGGCCCATCTGTCTCTGATGGAGGCTCTGAACATCTCCACAGCACCCGCAGGTAAGAGAGGCTTTGCTGGCCTGAGGCCTGCAGACCCACACAGCAGCTCATCCTCTACAACAACAACAACAACAACAACAAGATTCCATTTATAGAGCGCCTTTCACGTCAGGAGGACGTCCCAAGGCGCTGCACAGTTGGGTCATGACCCGAGCAGGGGGGAAATGGTCAGGGTGAGGGGAGGGAAGGGAGGGAGAGAGGAGGGGGGAAATGGTCAGGGTGAGGGAGGGAAGGGAGGGAGCGAGGAGGAGGAAGAGAGTCGAGAGGGGAGCTGAAGGCATGGTCAAAGAGAAAGGTTTTGAGACCGGCCTTGAAGGAGGAAAGGGAGGAAGCAAGGCGAAGGCACTGGGGATGGAGTTCCAGAGCCTGGGGGCTGAGAGGCTGAAGGCCCGACCACCGATGGTAGGGCGGTTGGGGCGGGGGACGTGGAGCAGACCGGAGCCAGAGGAACGGAGGGTACGGGCAGGTAGGTAGGGGGATAGTAGGTTGGAGAGGTAGGAGGGAGCAAGGCCGTGAATGGCCTTGTAGGTGAGGATGAGGATCTTGAAATCTACACTGCAGCTGTCACACAGGCTGCATAAGACTGCCCCACAGCCCACATTTGTGCGTTGCTGGGTCCAGGAGAGGTGAGAGGGAATGAGCGAGAGGGAGGAAGGGAGGAAAGCGAGAGGGGGAAGAGGGAATGAGTAAAAGGGAGAGAGGAAGTAACAGAGAGGAAGGAAAGAGAGAAAGAGTGGGAGGGAAAGAGCGAGGGGGGAATAGAGAGAGGGAGAGACAGGGCCGAGAGTGGGAGGGATCAGACAGTGTGAGTGCCCAGTGTTAAGGGAACGCTGTTTCTTTGTCTCTCGCGAGACCACCCACTGGCTTCCTGACTGTGAACACTGAGGCTTGATGGTATAGGCTTGATAGTATAGGGATAGGGCAGGGTGGTAGGATTGAATAAACAGTTAACTCGGAGAGCCAGTGCAGACTTGATGAACCGAATGGCCTCCTTCTGCACTGTATATCTCTATGATCCCAAGCATTTGATCGATATCCTTTCACCAGCAGAGGGTTTCATTCCCACAGACTCCACAGCACCAAGATGCAGAGATAAACACAGAGTATTCAGCTTGTCACATCTGTGCTGGTGCTCGCTCACCACTGGAGCTCTCAACTCTAATCCCATTCCCCTGCTCTCTCCCCATCACATCTGTGCTGGTGCTCGCTCACCACTGGAGCTCTCAACTCTAATCCCATTCCCCTGCTCTCTCCCCATCACATCTGTGCTGGTGCTCGCTCACCACTGGATCTCTGTACCATGTTTGGAGTGAGTTCCAGTACCAGAAGACGCCCCAATTTATGTGAGAGATTCCCAGCTGGGTCTCCCTTATCCTGACGCGAGGAGAAGTCCAGTTTTCGGTGAAGGAGTTGTGGAAGGAATCTTCCATCGCGCAACTTGTGGGTGGGAGACAAACAACTTGAGCGAGGTTCCATGAACTGAACCACTGTTGTCTAACCTCGCAGGACCTAAAGATAAATAATAGTAATAATGCTTGCATTTAATATAGCACCTTATCACACCGTCGAGACATCTCAAAATGCTTCACATGTAGTGTAAAGTGAATTGACTGTATATTTAGTGGACGAATCGCACACAACAGTGTCCCACAAACAGTCATGAATTGAATGACCAAATTATTCTTATTATACTTTATTATCACTCGGAAAAGCGACCTGCCAATCGACTAACAACTGCCAAAAGACTAAAGGTGCATCAAAGCCCGAGCAGCGCTGCCAGGAGGAATCTGCCGCAGGTGAGCATCTGTCACGTCATATTGGGATCGTCAGAGGCTTTGCCACCTCTGCCTCAGTTAGTAACACTCTTGCCTCAGAATCAGAAAGTTGTCACATCAGCACTTGAACTCACACAGTCTAAGATGGCACTGCAATACAGTGCTGAGGGTCGGTGGCGGAGGTTACGTTGGCGGAGGTGCCGTCCTTCAGACGAAACATTAAACTGAGATCCCGTCTGTCCTTCCAAGTCCAGGCTGTGCTGTCATCAGCAGTTGTACTGCGGGCCAGCCTGGCGCGGGAACTGGACTAGAGACCGCCCCTGAGGCCTGGCTCGGTTCCAGGGTTACATTGACGTCACCTTGGAGCCAGGTCAGACGCCTTCACTGGATGAGAGGCTTGCCTGTCAGTACTCTCAATGGCAAACGCAGCGGTTTATCGCTGGTTTTACTCCAGCAGTTAACCCCAACACACACTCTGGGGTCCCCACGTTCGGATTTCCTCCCCCTCAAGGAGGATGGTGAGATTTTGATGGTCGATGGTGATTGAGTCATTTTAAGTGTTCCGGGACGCTGCCCGCGTGAAGGCGTTGTTGTTGTTGAGTCATTGACCTGCTCAGACACGTTCATGCCGGGCTGGCGGGGCTGCGTGTGTGGGAAGCTGAGCTGAGGGCTGGTGTGTGTGTGTTACAGTGCTCACTGCCCACCAGCACATCGCGGCCACAGCGCTGGGGGCCGTGCTGAGCCAGGAGCCCCCCTGCAAGTACCGCATCCGAGCCCAGCTGATGGACTTCCAACCCCGAGGCCTGCATCAGTCTGTCAAACTGCACTGTCCTGCCTGCCAGGCCTGGTATGATATGGTCTCCCCCTTCACCCCACCCCTGTCCCCCCACAATATGTCACTCATCCCCCACCCCCACCACACACACCGCAATGTGCCACACCCGCACACACCACAATGTGCCACACCCCCACACCACAATGTGCCACACAACCACACCACAATGTGCAACTCACACCCCATCACGGCCCTGCGTAAAGTCACATGCACCAGCATGTCTGCCACCCCCCCCACCCCTACCTCACCGCAATGTGTTTCCCCTGGTGCTGTGTGTCGGTAACCCCAAAAACCCCCCCAATGTACTGCGTTATGGTGTGATGTCTGCTGTGTTGCCCCTCAGGCTGGAGATTCCAGAGAGGGAGGAGGTTGATGCAGTGTTGAGGGGGGTCCCGGACCTGCTCCCCAGCCTTGCCCTGTGCCCCGCTCCCTGGTACCAGACAGTGACCTGGCACTCACTGAGTCCGGAGAAACTGATGGCAGCTCACATTGTCCTGGCCAACGGGGAGGAGGAAGCACCAGAGAGCAAGGCCATCCTGGCGGAAGGTAGGAACCATCCACACTGGATCATATGTCAACGGGACCCAAAGAGCAAAGGCCGACCCCAACATGCCCAGCAATCGTGCATGGCACTGCTGTGGGGTGAAATGTTGTCTGAGATTCCCAGAGCGGATGGGATGGGGACTGAGATTCCTGGTGGGAAGCAAGATGGTGATTTGGATTTGGACTTTCAGGGGTCACAGTGCGGGAGCTGCACAGACTGTCCCGGAGATTTGGGAGTGTCATTCCTGTCTGCAGGCGCTCCGAACAGCTGACGCTGATGGACTGCTCCGTCCCTTTCGTGATTGAAGGCCGGAAATGGCATTACGGGTAACGTTCACAGAAACTCCGATTAATCCCTGTTACGGCCCGGCTCGGTCGCTCACACTCTCATTTCTGAGGTTGGAGCTTGTGGGTTCAAGCCCCACGTCGGGGCTCGTAGCTCACTCAGAAATATAGAAGTAATGTTGTGGGTGAAACTGCTACCATGTTAGCAGCTGTTAGCAGAGTGCCGAGAAACAACAACAACTTGTATTTATCCAGTGCCCTACACACGGGGCAGCATCTCAGAGCAGCCAAGGTGGGAGCAAGGAGCCAGGAAGGGTTGTTGAGACCAGGACACTGGGATTCAATTAAAAAGCAGCTCGATGTTGTGAGGAGGGGATGGCAGGTGGGTGTTCTGGAGGGATCAGATCGGGATGGGATGAAGGGTTTTCTTCATCCTAACGTTTCTCCAGTAAGACCCTGGGATTCTTGTCACGTTCGCTGACTGGGATTCTCCTCTATATAAATACAATACAAAACTACATTTGTGTAGCACCTTTCACATCGGGAGGATGTCCCAAGGGGCTGGAGAGTCAGGTATTTGGAGCCGAACTGGGGTTCGGGATCGGGCAGAGTGGAGTGTAGGAGGGTGGCCGAAGGCTCAGTCGAAGAGGAGGGTTTGAGACCTGCCTTGAAGGAGACAAGGGAGGGAGTGAGGCAAAGGGAATGTGGGATGAAGTTCCAAAGGGTTGGGGCTGAAAGAGTGGGGGCTGTTGGTAGGGCGGGCCAGACCGGGGGGTGTGGAGCATTTTTCCAATGGGGGGAAATTTTTTTCCAAGAGCAGTAGGAGATGGAGGTGGGTTGAGTGGCGGTGGGGAGAGGTTACAAGAACCATCTCCTTGGCATGCACTGAACCCGAGGGGAATTGAGGATCAGAAGTTCAACAAGAACAGTCAGTGTTTACACAGCCGTCTTCATGTATACAGGCAGCTCGGGACTGCTGCCCAGTGATGGGGTTAGACACCAAGCGAGGGAGAAGTCGGAGGGGATATGACTATCGGAACCATCAAAGAGTTTAAGTTTAAGGGTCGAAGTCTTAAGGTGTGTGAGAGAGATTTGCATGTGAGGTTGAGAACCTTGAAGTCATTCTGTTAGGAGACAGGGAGGCAGTGAAGCCTGGTGAGAATTGGAGTGATGGGCATGGGTTGAGAACAAGGCTCTCAACAATTTTCCTTGTTTTTCAGATGCAAGAATTGTTCCACACCTCGACCAGTGGATGCCCTTCAGTCACTGCCCTCAGGAGAGCCATGGAAAGCGTCAGCCATCGCTAGAGGTAACCGTAGTAACCATCACAAACTCCTTCCCTTGGGTCTCACTCAGCTCAGGCACCTGCATGAAAAATATCAACACTACAGGATTGGGTAGTTTCTCACACGGAAGACACAGTTCTGGTTTCATTCTGGTGCTGCTGTCAGTGGAGAGACTGAATGAGTGGGTGGTTTTCCACTGGATTTTTTGGGGTTGACCAGGTGTCTTGACACATGTAGAAACTCATCACCCTGCTTAAGAGTATCCAAACCCAGCTGAGATTCGCATGCATCCCACCTACACATGAAAATCGCAGAGATAGATTGTTGGAGGGATGCTGCTTACCTAATTCTGGAGAGCATTAGGCATAGGTTGGCAAGAGCTAACACCGACACCAGAGTGCACGTTGGGGTACGACTGCACTGCTGGAGTCTAACCAGCTAAAACTGCATAGCTTGCCATTGAGAACACTATTTTTAATTAACAGGGACCACAGATACTGACTGTGATGGTGGATTTTACAGAACGTCTTTGATACAGGGGCTTGAAAGATAAAGAATAACCATTACAGTAACACACCATAATCAACCAGAGAGAAGTTGTAAAACTTTCTGTTTTGTGCTTTACAGAAAAGGCTAAAGACTTCAGGGTATAATCTTAAGCACTGCAAGAAGCTACCAGTGCGAGTTGTTATAATTTTGCAGTAATTCTCACGATAAGAAATGTGAACCTGGCAGATTTCTAAATTCAGCACTTTTAATGATAGTAATTTTGTGAAACAGTCTACGTGCATGATAGGCTGTATAACAGGCTCTGTCTGTCCAGAGTTAGGTGTTTAGACACTGGACGGACAGGCTGTGTGTGGGGTGCTGTGTAACAGGCTCTGTTTGTCCAGTGTTAGGTGTTCAGATGCTGCACTATGTGTTTGTCATGAAGTTTACCCTCTCGGACGGATCAGGCAGTCTGGATGCACTGCTGTGGGATGAAGCGGTGAGTAGCTCTGTCTTTTTATCAGCCGGGTGTTTGCGACGTGGAAACCCATCACCATGCAGGAAAAGTGGAAATCCATCACCGTGTCTGACATTTGCAAAAAGCCATCACGTGCTTAAGAGTATCAAAACAGACCAAGTTCCACATAAGTATGTTACCTACTTTTGGAAATTTCTCCAGAGGGATGCTTACCTCATCAAGAGAGTATTGTGTGAATGATTGACCAGTGGAAATAATTTCTCATATTTACATCCTGTTAAATATATTTATAGCCTTTAAATCTCAGACCCTCAATCAGGTTGACCCTCTGATGTTCAGTGACGAAAGCTACAAACTTAATAACCAATGCTCACATTCCTCCGTACAGGAAATTGCTGATTGCAGTTTGGAGATTGTGCAGATTTTCAGCCTATCTGAACCGACTCTTTGGAACTGCATCCTTCGCTCCCTCCCTCGTCTCATTCAAGATCATTCCCTGAGCTGGTGATGAGGGATGGAGCAGACTGTGCACTCCTCATTCATTTGGATTTCCTTTATCCTTTAGGAAAAATTCTTCGGGATTCCAGCGTCTGACGTCGTGGGAGACGAGTCCTTGCAGGAAAAGCTGAGAAGAATTCTGGAGACACTATGTCCCTCAAAGCAGGGCCCAGGTAAAGGGCTGTGGATTGTGAGATACAGCTTGTTGTCACAATCTCTTCGAAACTCTTCTTTCCTTCCCCCAGCACCGTCCTTTGGATGAAATGTTAAACCATCTGTGCTTATTGAGGTCATTTGTTAAAAGATCCTGCAACACCATTCCCAGTGTCCTGCCCGACAATCCCCCAGATAAAATTGGTCACTCACTTCTTGGGTTACCCGCCATTGCTTCTCACATGGGTGAGAATGAGAAGAGATAAAGTGGGGTGGGGGGGAGGCAAGTACACACAACTACACAGTCACTACACCTAGGCCAATTTGCCTCCAAATGTCAGCTCTGAGTCAGAGGGTTATGGTTTCAAGCCCCACGTGGAACCCATATAGTTTATGTTGACACTGATGCAATACTTGGGAGGAGCTCTACATTGTAGGAGGTTCTGCCCTTCGGATGAGATGTTAAACCAAGGTCCTGTGGATGTTAAAGATACCATAGCACAAAGGAAAGACGGTGGGGGGAACTAAGAGGCTGATTGTGGAGATTCGCCTCATGTGCAGTCAGCAGGCTCCCATCCTGGCCAACAATCTCCCAGATAAAACTGATAACTCACTTCATGGCTGTTCGTGGGACATTTCTGTGTGCAAATTGGCTTCTGCGTTCACCTACAAATAACCAGTCTCTGTACTTTACATAACAACTTGTGAAGCACTTTGGGACATTTTGATGATGTGATATTAAATGTGATCATTATAATAATAATTGTTGTTATGACAATATATTTCACAATAATATTTTTTATTATCATGTGTCTTTCTCCTGACAGAAGGCTATCCCTGGCTGGAGTGTTGTATCAAGTCCTATCGTGTCAGAGATGGTTCCAATGACAAGACTTGCTTCCAGATGTTTGACACCATAGTTGTAGGAATTGAAGAACTTTAACCCTTCGCCTGCCAACAATGGTCTCCCTAACCCTCAGCGAGACACCAAGCTCAGCACTTTTCACAAGCTCCCAGTTATTTTCCCACAGATATAGTTTGTCAACCCCATCAAACCTTCTGCTCAGTCAGTGGAGCTGGGACATTCCGGTTTGAGCTGGCACTCGGTTGGCCCTCCAGTGCAGTGTGGTGGGGTGGGCACTGCACTGTCGGAGATGGCCCCCTTCAGATGAAATATTGAACCAACTTAAATCCTCTGAGCCTGTTTAAACGAATGTTAAAAGGTTCTGTGATTGGGAAGGAGAAGTGAGATTCTCCCAGTTTGCTGGTTGACAGTTCTCCAGATGAATTGCTCGTTCACCTCGTGGCTGTTTGCGAGACCTCTCTGTTTGTGAACTGGTTGCCGCTTTAGCCACAAAATACAGCCGCTGTATTTGCCAGAGGTTACCTGGAGACGATTTGCCACATTGAGGCGCTAAACAGGTGGCAAATGCTTTGGTTTTAAGAAGGCTTTTTCGTGAGGGTATCTTCCGAACAATGGCCCCACACACAAGGCAGTTCACAGAACCTCAAACACAGCAGAGCTCCTCAGCTGTTAAGGAGTTAAAGATCCAAGTTCATTAAAAGTTGAAGCATCTTAATCTGTTTTAAGTGTGTTGGAAGCGTCCTAATGTTCACTCCAGCTCCCTTAGCATCCAGTTATTCAGCAGTGAGAGATTTATTGGGTTGCAGCAAACTGATGTCAATGAGCTCCCATTGAAAGAGCCTCTGAGGCTGATTGTAAGTTCCTTAACGACATGGCCTGAGTCTGGTCATCAGCAGCCTCCCCTACTCCTGGAGGAGAGAGGATGGTTTGTACTTTATCTAGATTATCTTTATTTGGGGGGAAACATTGGGGTTTGTAGTTGTTTATGCTATTTAGTTATCACTTCAGCTCCTTCCTGTCTGCTTTGGTAGAGACTGGGAGACGCTTATTTGGCTAAGGAAGCAGCATGGTGACAGGCTCAGGCCTTTGGTTGTGGGACAGGCCCAGTGAGGAATCCAGGATGGTTCAGGCAATAAAAAGCTAGGCTTCCTCAGACAGTAGAATGGAAGGTGGAAGTGACCAGGCAATGAGGAGACCTGTTCAGTCCCCACACACAACCCCATCTATCAGGAGAACCAGAGACAAGAGAACTTTTCAGCGTGTGACTGAAGTAGAAAGGAGAATCATTTAGGGAGCAAGACAATATTCTGTTAGTCAGTTTAGAGTTTAAGTGCAGACCTGTTGTTGAAAAGTGACTTGATGTTTTCTGTTTGCTGGCTGCAGCCAAAATGTTGAGGCCAAAAGTTGTGTCGAGCTTCAGAATTGAACCATTAATATCTGCAGCTCTGGAGGACAATTCCACCTGTGGTGGCTTTCTGAAAAGCTGTATGTTCAGTCCCTTTCATTGCTCCCTTCACCATTTTCAGATCATTCTCTCAACGTGGTTTTTCACCGTTTTGTATACAAGTAAATGCAACATGGATAGCAGAAATAAGGGGCTTTTGTGTGAATTGATGGCAGTTTTGTACCAGGAGGTAGGCTCAGAGTTCACAGCTCCAACTAACAATCAATGTAAATCTTGTCTTTACAATGAGGTTAGGAAATTTCAACAAATCACCAAATACATGTTGCTTCTGTACATAACCTTTATTGGCACAACAGTCATTCTCATTTTATTAAATGCTACTATATTGTATATATACAGTGTTCAAAGAATTTATATAAGCTGTGAATTAGATACTATGCGAATGCATTGAAGTGTTGTAATGAATCTTTATAATAATAATAATAATCCTTGCATTTGTTATAGCGCTTTTCACGTCGGGAGGACGTCCCAAAGCGCTTCACAGAACACACTGTAAAGTGAATTGACTGTATATTTGTGGGTGAACGCGGCAGCCAATTGCGCACAGCAATGTCCCACAAACAGTCGTAGATTGAAAATGACCAATTTATTATTGTTTTTGGTTTTGGAGGGATTATTATTAGGCGTGTGGCGTAAGGAAACTTGCCCAAGGTTTCGCCCTGCCTGGAATTGAATTCAGGTCTCTCGCTTGCCAAGCGAGTGCTCTAACCACTGAGCTACAGGACTCCACAGGGAGTCCACTCCACAGAGACTTTTTAGGGAAAAAGTCATCTGCTGGATAAACATTGAAGAATGTTCCAGGAATAACATTTTTTGTAACCTTTGGCCAGAATGTTCATTTTGTAATTTGTAATAAATACAACTTTGTTTAAGTATTGTCTTGTCCATTTGACTAGTAAACACTTCCATTCCCAGGTTGTATGTATATAGATGCACACTGCATCTTCATCAGTTGAACTGAGAATATCAGTACAAGGATTTTTTTGCAGTAACGTATGTTTATTAATAGTGAAGTATTGACCACTTGTCTCAAAACAGTCATCCAAAGTATGGATGGGGCATCAGTATGCAGATTTCCCTTCATCTGCAGACCACATAAAATGTTTTGTAGCATCCTGAGATGTCATTAATGACATTTGACTGATGGAATTTGGGGCTGGGGACCCCAGGACTTTTGAAAATATATTGTTTAATGAGTTTATGGTTGGTTCAAGAATAAAATAAACCAAACCTGAAGATTAAGAAAACATCTTAAAACCAATATAATTATTCAGGTCACTTCTATGAAATTAAGCTTCACAAAGGTTGAGTATCTTATGTTCAGCTCCGCAACTGCAAATTTCCTGAATATAGGAGAAAATAGGGGCATTTTAGAAACACTGCACATCCTTTCCAACAGGAAACAAACTTTTGGGGAAGTCCCAGGAATTTTTGAGCTCAGATTCCACACTTTGAAGAATGAGGTCCATTTTGGAAACTTAGCATCCGAGCTGAACAGTAAAACATCTCTTTGAAAACATTTTATAAGCCGACATAACTATCACAAGTAACAACAATAACAAAATGACACTTGTAATTTTCATGGCTGGATAGACGAGTTACGGACCTGAGCTGAGGGTTGGGGTCGGGGAGGGCGAGGAAGTAGGGAGATCGAAAGCACAGTCGAAGAGGAGGGTCTTGAGATGGATCTTGAAGGAGGGTAAGGGGATGGGGGTGGTGAGGTGGAGGGACTGCGAGACGGAGTTCCATAAAATTAAGATAGCCTTTGTGAAGCTTAGGTTCAGCACTACTAGTTTCCTGAATTTAATAACACTACATATCCTTTCAACATGAAACAAACTTCAGTTACAATTTTTCTTACCATAAAAACAAATGATAGAAAGTCACAAACGGATGATACAAACTACACATTTCACAAAAACAATGGCAATTCACACAAGTGAATTCATTTCTATTTGCCAAAAAAAGAAAATTAACCCAATTTTGCTTTGTTCACAGCAAAATTTTGTAACACTACAACCTCTTTCTTTTCTCCCCATTACATTTTGGGCAATAAAATTATCATTTCTTCTTAAGCTTTTCAATCAAAAACTTATTTTCGAAGCATCCCCATATCTCCATCCTGCTTCGACCCACTATTTTGAAACAAAAAAGACAGTCCCTGTTTCCTGATTGGTACATGAGGATAAGGTTCTCTGGACTTCAGACACACCCAAAAGCAATCCACAAACCTCCCTTGAAACAGATGCTGCCAGTACAGTGATATCTTTTAGCTGAATTATACATTAATTTCAGGGACAGAATTGGGAGTATCCCAAAAAACAGCACCAATTTTACTGTCACAACTTGCGTTTTATTTATTTATCTCTCCAACCCAAACCTCACACATCAAAGTTTCCCTAATATTAAATATCTGCTAACATATTCATGGAGCGATTCAGCCCAACTGATCTATGCCTATGGTTTCCTCCGCAAGGCCCTATCCATTATGTAAAATCACCAAATTTACGCTTATATTATGTGATTTACTTCAACCACACCTTCAGGAAAAAAGTTCCTCCTAAACTCATGCTTTTGTGCTTTTGATAAGCACACCTGTAAGCATACAACCATACCTTGTGCTTTTGTTTGCATAATATAAATAATCCTTGCATTTGATTCACCCCTTATGTCATAGATCTCTAGCACTTTATAAGGTAAAGTAATATATAGTAAATGTATCTTAGCTATTTATCCTTTAATCATATAATAATACTTACATTTAATGTAGCATCAATCACATCAGGAGGATGTTTCATCTTGAATGGTTCAAATCCTATCTCTCACACCAGTTCCACTTTGTCTCCACAAAGGGCTTCTCCTCCAGCCCCCGCACTCTCTCCTCAGGGCTCTGTCCTCGGTCCTCTCTTTTTCAACCTGTACATGCTCCCTCTTGTTGTTTTTTATAAGTGTTTGTGTACATGGAAGTACGTGGAGTCCTGAAACTCAGTGGTTAGAGCACTCGCTTTGCAAGTGAGAGACCTGAGTTCAATTCCAGGCAGAGGGCGAAACCTTGGGCAAGTTTCCTTACTCCACACAGAGCCTAATAATAATCCCTCCAAAACAAAACAATAATAAATTGGTCATTTTTAATCTACGACTGTTTGTGGGACATTGCTGTGCGCAATTGGCTGCCGCGTTCGCCCACAAATGTACAGTCAATTCACTTTACAGTGTGTTCTGTGAAGCGCTTTGGGACGTCCTCACGACGTGAAAAGCGCTATATCAAATGCAAGGATTATTATTATTATTATTATTATCATCCGCAGACATCATGTACGCGGATGACACCCAACTCTATCTCTCTGCCTCCACCGTCGACCTCAGGACCACTAATGCCCTGACAGACTGCCTAGATGTGACCCAACGTTCTACAGTTGAACGTACGTGAGACACCGGCAGAATCAGCATCCACTGATGCACACTCCGCCTCACCAAGCCAGTCAGGAACCTAGGCGTCTTGTTCGACCTCAAATGTCCTTTGCCCCCCACATCCATGCCAGGACCCACTCTGCTGTCCCACACCTCCGCAAATTGCCCGACTCCATCACTGCCTCATCCATCAGGCCGCTGAAACCCTCATACACGCCTTCATTACAACCAGGCTCGACTACGTCAATGCCCTTCTCGTTATCTTTCACAATTCTTCCCTCCACAAGTTGCAGATCATCCAGAAGTCTGCAGCTCATGTCCTCTCCCACACCAGGCCCCATGACTCCCCTCAGAGGATCAAGTTCAAAATTCTCATCCTCACCTTCAAGGCCCTCCATGACCTCACCCCTTCCTACCTCTCCGAACTGGCTCCAAGGTGACAAATTTTGCAACGGAATGATTGAATCAAGCCAGCCCTGTGTGGCGGTCTCGGTATTCCAGTTCCTGAGCCAGGTGGGTCCGCAGTATTCCAGGGACAGCACAGCCAGCCTGGCCAGGCCAATAGAAAAGTGAAGAAATATTTGCCAAAAATGTGAAGTGCTTTATAAATTTTGCCGAAGATTGCAGCTAAAATTGCTATATTTTGCAGAAAATTGCAGAGGGCTGATTGGTGCTATTGAGGGACACATTTTGCTGCTCACCTACATTTTTTCTCTTTTCCAATTTTTAAAAACTAAACATGAAGAAATAACAGTTTGCAGATTATTGCAAATTTATTAATGTTTTCTTTAATAAAAACAGAACATAACATCTTTGAAACAATGCAAAAGTGCAGTTTCAACAACACAACTTGCAGAGAAATTAAAATTTTCAAAATCAAATTTTCACAGAAACAACTGTACATTTGCAGCCAGAAGTTTAGTACTGGTTAAATTTTAACATGGGAAAATCTTCCTATTTTCTTCTGTCAGGCTTTGTCTATTATCTTTGAGGAGATTGCATCAACAGAAAATGACCTTTCCATGTCAGCTGTGCTCACTGGTAGCCAAATGTACCTTTTTGCAATTTTAGCAAGTTTCACAAGTGGCTCAGGCTGAGCTCCCCACCATGCTGCTATTTTGTGGTTGCCTGGGATATTTTCTCTTTATGAGCATGCCATTCGAAGTTTGAAATAGTTGGCAGGGCAGGAATCACATTTCAACAAAATACAGCAACAAGGTTACATTTGTACGCCTTTCACGTCGGGAGGATGTCCCAAGGCACTGGACAGACAGAGTTTCGGACCTGAGCTGGGGTCAGGATCGGGGAGGGTGGAGGGCAGGGGGAAGCAGGGAGGTTGAAAGCATGGTCGAAGAGAAGGGTGTTGAGATGGGTCTTGAAGGAGGCAAGGCAAGGGGAGCATGCAGGATGGTAAGGAGTTAGGAGGTTGCAGAGGTAGGGGGGAATAAGACCACGGAGGGCTTTGAAGGTGAGGACCAGGATCGTGACTATATCCTCTGTGATGGGAAGCCAGTGGAGTCGGGCGAGGATGGGGGTGATAGGTCATGGAGTTTGGTGCAGGAGAGGACACAGGCTGTTGAGTTCTGGATGATCTCAGCCTATTGAGGGAGGAGTTGGGGAGGCCGAAAAGCAGGAAGTTTATAATGTGAAACCATGATGTAATGAATGCATGAGTCAGGGTCTCGGCGGCCTACGGTGTGTGACAGTGGTGGAGCCTGGCGATGTTGCGAAGGTGGGGGAAGGCAGAGCGGGTCATGGTGCAAATTTGGGGTAGAAAGCATAGTTGAGGATCAAACAAGACGCCAAGGTTCTGGACTGGTTTAGTAAGGTGGAGCGTGCATCCATGGCTGGTGATGCTGTCGGCACCTGAGGTGTGGAGGTATTGTGAATTCTGTGAAGCGCTTTCAGATGTCCTGACATGAAAGATGCTATACCAAATCTAATGTTTATGATTCATTATTATCTTTTATTAGCAGCAAGGCTGGCAGGACAGGAATTTTGGACAGACTTCACAGAGACCAACCTGGTTCAGTTCAATCAGAATGTTATAGGTTCAAGCCCCACATTGAGACTTTGAACTCATGATCTCTGCTGACACTCTAATGCAGTGCTGAACAGAGCTCTGCATTGTCAGGGGTGCCATCCTTCAAATAAAATATTAAACTGAGAACCCATCTGTCCCTGTTCAGGTAGATGTTAAAGATCTGTGGCACCATTTAAAAAGTGAACGAGCTTCTCCCGGTGTCTCAGCCAAAATCCCCCAGATAAAAGTGGCAATTCACTTCATAGCCATTTGTAGGCCATTGCTGTGGCCAATTGCATGATCCGCCAAACCCAAAGTCACTACGCTTTGAAAATAAAATCCTATTAAGTGTTTTGAGGTAACCTCCCGACTTAGAAGGTACTATATCAAAGATTATTCATTTACTGAAGTCATGGAGGATTGCAGCAA